ACGGTGCTGGCGCTCGGCGGCCTTGTCCACGGCTGGGCCGCCGGCGCCGCCTCGAGCTTGGCCGCCCAGATCGTCAGCCTCGTCGTCGTCGGCGCTGCGTACGTGAGTTTGACGTTGAGCATGGCCGAAGTCTCGAGTGCATTGCCCTTTGGCGGTGGCGTCTTTGGTCTCAGTCGGTGTTCGCTGGGGTACTACCTCGGCTTTGTCGTCGGCGCGTGCGAGTGTCTCTACTACATTCTGTACACGAGTGCACTCACGCTCACGCTTGGCGACCTCGTGGCGCCGACGCTCGGGACGGTGTTTGTGCCGCTCATCTGGTTTGGCACGCACGCGGCCGCTGTGCTATTTCACATTCTTCAGAACCGGTGGTTTTGGCACCTCACTGCCGGCGTCGTCGTCTTCGGTCTTGGTCTAGTTGCGCTCTACTGCGCAGGCGTGTGGCGCGCCTTGCATGACGAGGTGTCGGCAAAGGCTGCGTCGTCCGACAGTGGCTGGACCATACTGAAGCTGCTGCCTCTGTACACCCACAGTTTTATCGGTATCGACGCGCTCTCGTCATTCGCCGACCACGTCCAACGACCAATCGATATCGTGCCGGTGGGACAAGCCCGCGGGTCGTACTCGGTGCTTATTGTCAGTGCGCTGGTGTTTGCGTCCTCGACGATCGTGCCACCGACGACGACAGCGGGGGGACTCACCCGAGGTGCGTGGGAGGAGGGACTGTTATGCTCATGAGCTCATATCGAAGTGATGACTAGGTTTTCAAGAGGTGCTGGGCATCGATGAGTCGTCGGCGGCCCTCGTCTCGCTGCCTCTGCTAATTCCTGCGATCGGCGCCTTCGTCCTCACCTCGTCCAACATCCTCACGGGTCTTGCCAAGTCGAGTTTGGTCTATCGCCGCCTGGCCCGGCCACTACTGGGATACAACTGCTACCCTCGAACGCTCGTCGTCTGCAGCCTATTGAGCTTCGGCCTCGCGTGGCTGGCCCAAACAATTCCCGTTCTTGGTCGGAATCTGTACAATGTGTCCTTCCTCTTTGCAATGCCGACCTACATGGCCCACGCGTACGGGTTTTTGTACCTTGGCGCCAAGTTTCCAGCACACAAGCGTTCGTTCGTGTCGCCCTTGGGGCGAATGGCGGGAGTCTACGCCATTGGTATCTTTGGGCTCTGCTGGATCTCGGTCCTCATTTGCCAAGACGACAGTCT